ATAATTACATAATTTTTGTTATTTTTACTATAGTTTTCCTTATACTGAATCAGCCTGGCATTCCTCTTAAAAATCCAGCCTGGTAATAGTGTATAATCTTTTAAATATGGTTTTGTGCCTCTTTACTAATATCTTAATTTTTTTACATTAATACTTATTAGGGATAATGGTCTAGAGTTTTCTTTCTCTGCTTTCTCTCCACTACTTTAGACCATATTTATCTTACAGAAAACATTTGGAAGGATTATTTTTTTTCCTATTTTTGTAAACAGTTTGTAATACTGGGATTAATTGTTCTTTGCATGTTCGATAGAATTCACTTGTAAATCTAGCTGGTTCTGGGTTTTTCCCCCCTTTGGAAGTTCTGTGACAAGGACAGGGTCAGCCAACATATGCAATTAATACTCTTTCCCTCTTATCTTCAGCAGATTGCATCCTCAATGTTTCCCTCATTCTTCAATTTTCTAGTCCCCTCCCTATTGCTTTCAGGCATTCTCAAGTCTCCCATATCCTTAAAAAAAAATATTCACTGGACCTTATCATCACCTCAAGCTATCATCCTACACTTCTTCCCCTTTTTAGTCAAACTCCTAAAAAAACTCTCTATACTCACTGCCTCCACTTTCTCTCCTTTCACTCACTCCTTAAACTTTTAAAGTCTGGCTTCTAACTCCATCATTCATCTGAAATTGCTCTCTTCAAAGTTACCATGATATCTTTATTGCCAACTCTGATGGTCTTTTCTTGATCCTCATTCTTCTTGACCTATCTGCTGCATTTGACATTGTTGGCTATCCTTTCCTCCTGGATACCTTCCTTTCTCAGTTTTTGTGACACTGCGTTCTTGGTTCTCTTCTCCTCCTACCTATCTGATTGATGCTTTTTACTTTTCTTTCCTGGCCCATCTCTATATCATGCCCCAAACTCCCCAACATTCCATCCTATGCCATTTTTTTCTTCTACCATCTCCAGTTGTCCTGAGCTATGTCTTGCTGGACTCCAGTGACTTTAGAGGAGAGAGTGAGGCTGATGACTTTTCATAGACCTGCCTCACTTAAATACAATTCATTTGCAAGTCAAACAAGACATCACCCTTCTAATATCATTGGTCCTCTTAGAGAAAGAAGGACAAACAATAATCTGTGAGTAATAGTAGCTGCCCCACTGGGGACCCAACTGGCTAGTTCTAGTTAGGCAATGCTGCTCCTTCCTTCCTTCCTTCCTTCCTTCCTTCCTTCCTTCCTTCCTTCCTTCCTTCCTTGCTTCTTTTCTTCCTTTTTTCTCTCCTTCTATCTGTATCATACCCTTACATGTGCATGTTCTGTCCAAAGGAATATAAATTTTGATTACCTAAACCTCAAAAGATATCTTGGGATTTGGGGGCAAGATTTTTTTCTTCCCTACTTATTTATTCTATCATTAAAAAAAAAACAACTAGGACAATTAACTCTTTTGTCTCATGTAGTTTCATTTATGATTTCTTGAAATAGAGCTCTGGTAAACCAGGATTTAATAAAGCCCATTGGGATTCAAATGGAGCTACTTGACTATACCTTTAAAGCCATATCACTCTGGCTGTCACTGATTGGCCAATAATAAGTCTCAGCACAAGTTTTACTTGCTCATTGTTTGGGTTTTGATGGCTCAGAATGAGTGTAATGTAAATAAAAATTGTTTCTGTTCTGGCCAGAAACCCTGAGGGTCTTTCCCTCACAGATTGATTCTTTTGAGCAGGCAAACTGGGCCATGTTTCACTTCAATTTTCACCTAGCCTTAAATCACTGAATGGGTGTTGCCTCAGGCAAAATGAGACCTGGGAAAGACCTTAGCTTAAAAAGGCCAAGGTCTCCCACTGCTTCTGTGGCCATCTCCAATTATCCTGAGTTATGTCTTGCTGCTGGACTCTGATTTCTCTGGGGGAGAGAGTAAGGCTGATGACTTTGCCCAGCCTTGCCTCACTTAAATCCAATTCACTAGGAAGTCAAGACATCACCCTCCTGATGTCATTGTTCCTCTTTGAGAATGAAGGATGAACAACAATCTCTCTCTTAGAAACTATCATCTCTATGCAGATCACTCATGGATCTATATAACTAATCCTAGTTTCTCTTCCATGTTTCATTCTTGCACCACCAATTGACTTTTGGACACTTCAAACTGGATGTCCCAGCTACACACACACACACACACACACACACACACACACACACGCACACACACACACACACACACACGTCAAATTCAATAAGTCCAAAATGAACTCATCTTTATCCCCAAATACTCCCTGTTTCCCAACTTTTCTAATTCTTTCTAAGGCACCATGATTTTTCCAGTCTCACAGCTTCACATTCTTGACTCTACTCTCTCATCCTGCATATCCAATCAGTTGCCAAATCTTGCTATTTCAATATCTTCAATATTTCTCACATCTCAGTCCATCTTTCTACTCACTTATCTACCACCTTGGTACAAACCCTTCACTTCCTCTTGTCTAGATTACTGCAACAGCCTTCTAGTTGGTCTCCTTAACTTGACTCTCACTATCCCAATCCATCCTATAGATTGTTTCCAAAATAATTTTCTTTAAATGCTGATCTGACCATGCCATTACTCTACTTGATCAACTCTATTTACTTCTTATTGCCTTCATGATAGAATATAAACTCTTCTATTTAGTTTTTTTGAATCCTTTATAACCTGGCTCTGAACTATCTTTCCAGTCTCATTGATCATACCCCTCTCCCCCCTGCACTCTACTATCTAGCCTACCTGGCCTTGTTCTATACTATTTCTTTCAGGTATTTGGAAGGGTTTGGGGAGACCTCAAGCAAGTCACTGCTTTTACTCTGCCATCTTGGCTCCGCCCCTCATACTATTTCTTTCAGGTGACATTCCATCTCACATCTCTTTGCCTTTATGCTGACCATCCCACATGCCCAGAATGCGCTTCTTCCTTATCTCTACTTCATAGAGCCTTTATCTTCTTTTAAGATGCAGTTCAAGCACCATCTTTTGAATGAAGGCTTTCCTGATCCCAACTGTTAGCGTCTCTCTTTCTAAACTATCATATATTTTGCCACTTTGTATACATTTATATTTATTCACTTTATATATATGCTATGTCATACATATGTATATATATATATATATCATATATACATATAGATATGTACTTTTAATATCTTCCATTCGAATATAAACTTGTGAGTAAGGCTTTTTTCACTCTTTGAATTTGTATCCCAAGTATCTAACTCAGTGTCTGGTACATTGCAGACACTTAATAAATGCTGATAATTGGTTAATTTAAAAATGTATTTCTTATAATTAGCAAATTATTCATTTTTGTTTGTATATCCACTTTATAATTTTCTTCCATTATATTGAAGGATCTAATCCATTCACATTTTTAGGTCAAAATTGTTCTATGTCTTTCTTCTGAATGAAAATTTTGCTAAAAAAAATTTCACATTAATGAATATGCTATAACTATTCATGGAGTATCAGAGCTATCGATGCTCGTCCTTTTTAGGAAAATTATGCTCACAGGGTAGCCTCCCTGTCCTATAAAAACTCATACTTTTGCATCAGTGTAGTCATAAAACATTAGCTGAACAGTTAGACAGGGTGAGGCAATTCAGGGTGGAGTCTCTTACTTATTCCTGGCAAGCAATACCAAACTAATACATCCAACCTCAGCTAAAATGAGTAAGTACAAGAATAAATGCAAAAGAAAATGATCCCTTAGGGATTCATTATGACCTGGAACACTTTTTCCAAGACTGGCTTCCATGGTTTCAAGTTACTTATTAGAGCAACCTGAATGAAAGCTAGTGTCTACTCTGGAAAATTATTCCCTCCTTTCCGTCATTCATAATGACCCACCTCTTTTTCCTCCTCTCAGACCAGCACAATATCTACTTCTACATGTCTGTATATCATGGAACATGTACAAGAATTCATAGATACTGAAAATGAATGGATATGTCAAATTTTGACAGACTATATGGACTTAGCTCAGTAAATATTAGGGCAGGAGACACACACTTAACATCAAGGCACCTACCAGGAAAAGAACATAGCCCTGATTTTGCAATTCCTCAGGTTGACTTGAGAAAATTATTTAGGAGAAAATTAATAATTATTCAATTATTTAGGAGAAAGGGGTGGAAAGGAGGTGTTAAAAAACTGTTTTTCTTTCAATGAATGCCATGCAGCACCTTACCAGAGCATGTATAAGAGAGAATACTAGGGCAAGGGGAGGGTAACAAACAACTATATAACAACCCCTAAAGCTTTGGGAATTGCTAACACAGAGGGTGGGCAACAGTATTTTAAACATTATAGTTGAATATAAGTTCCCTGAGGGCAAGGAGTGTTTATTTTTGTATATTTATCCCCAGCCCTGGCACATTTTCTTGCATAGTAGGTGCATAATAAATGTATGTTGAATTTAATCAAACCCTGAACCAAAGAGGGTAATTTGAGGAAATAGGATCAGAAGTTTGAACTGGGCAACTGTTAAAGAATAAATAGAAATACTATAAGCGATGGCTGTTCCTTACACAAGACATTCCATCTCTAGACTCAGATCACTTTCCCTGTTTGTTGCCCATGCCTGGAATTTTCTCCATCCTCATCTCAGCTTCCTGGCTTTTTTGACTTCCTCCAAGTCTCAGCTAAAGACCACCTTCTGCAAGAAGCCTTTTCTAATGCCCCTAAATTCTGCTGCCTTCCTGCTGTTGATTATCTCCAATTTATTGTGTGTGTGTTTGTGTGTCACACACACATTGTTTATATATAATTGTTTGTGTGTTCTCTCTGCTATTAGACTGTGAATTTCTTGGGGACATAGACTGTTTTTTTTTGTTTTTCTTTGTATTCTCAGCACTTAGCACAATGACTGGCACATAGTAGGAGATTAATAAATGCTTATTGACTGCCTGACACATACCGAATTTGCATAAAAATCCTTATAGGGCTAAAGAGGAAATACAATGATATCTGAGATTATAGCTTTTATTTCAGAATTATATAGAGGCCATACATACAATGTTATTACATATTTCTGTATTGGTTATTCTATACAATTTAGGCAGCATTGTTACACGTAAATAGATATTTTACCAAATCAAAATCTAATAGTTTAGATATACTTTATTCTGAGCAAACTGATACATAGTAGAAAAACCCATTTGTATATAAAAGATTAATTTGTGCAATTCTAAGTGTTTCTATGTGAATCAACTACTGAGAGGCGTTGATATAACTGCAAACATATTACCATAGTTGAATATTTAAGATATCTTAAAGATGAGACCTATGAGCAGGCTTTCTAATAAGCCTTCAGGTAGGTCTTATTGTCAAACCTATTTTTAAACATTATATGGCTTCAATAGGAGCTTCAGGATGTCCCCCCACACCCAGCTGCTGCCTTCAAACAAAGTTTCTCACTGTCTGATTGCCTAGGCCACGAACGTTTCCACTTGTTCATTTAAGGGAAGTGTTTTGTGGGGAACAGCATCATTTGAAGGCAATAATGTTGTCCCCCCCAAATCTTCCATTCTTTTAATCACTGACTCACAGGTAAAGTGCTAGGCAGTTTCCAAAAGTCAACCAGAGAGCAAAACTGATCAGAATGTGAAGGTCAGTATAAGATATCCATACATTTAGGTATTATTTTCAACTCCTTGGATTTTTTTGGATTGAATTTGCACAGTACCTTTCTTCCAGAGAGCAGAATTAATTTGTCTATTTTTTTAGTGGAATATAAAAGCAAAGAACTAAATATCAGAATTGGCATGCAAGCAATGGAGAAGCCCAAGGAAAGCCACTGACTTGTAAAGATATCCAAGGTAGAGTCAGTGAAGAAAAAGCCTACAACTGTGGATTAGAAGGGCTCTTTCAAATACATCGTCAGGATGAATCAAAAGCAATGTCCAATGGTGAGATCTTAGCTTATTCTTTAGTTGGAAATGACCTCTGCCTTCTACCAATTTATATGTGTCTTCAAGTTTATCTCCCCAGAATTGTACTTGGTTTCCAGATATGAAATACAATAGCCTGGGATTGCCAGTGCTTCCTAGGGCAGGAATTTTTGGAGGTGTGAGGTAGGGTTGGGTATGGAATCTAAAGTATTTGGAAAAAATGAGGGACCAGGACTGACAGGTCTTGGCTAGGGAATGGGAAAAGACAGAAAAGTCTAGAGATGATAAGAAAGGAAAAGTCTGCTGATTATAGAGAAAAGAGAAGTTAGGAATAAAAGTTGCAAAAAGGAGGCTGTTAAATTCAATTTGATATCCAAAGGTTGGGCAGAACTCCATAGTAAACTTATGGGAGGACCTGGACAAAAGTTGTCCAGGATGGGAAGCCACAGAGGCACTGTGATGGGCATCATTATGGTGAGGGTTGGGGGTGGGGAGGAGAACTTCCAAATTGATGTGACCATAGATCCATTTGAGTATTTGAGATTCTAAAAGTCTCTCCCAGAAAAGGTAAAGAACCATCATTCCATGGCATCAAAACTGGAATCCTCTTCAATTCTTTAATTACAGCAGTACTGGGGTAGAAACTCTTTATTTCCATGACTTTCATTCATTCTAGCCCACACATGATAGGTAGTATTGGAAGTTAAGAACACATATACAGAAAAAAAGTGAGATTAGCATCAAATGTTGTACATTAAAGGCTTTTTAAGGATACCCTCCATTTTGGCCATGTAAATAAATACTGCCAGACCAACATTTTTGTGATCAGTAGTTTGCCATCTTTTTTCAAAAGACTATGCATTTTACTCTCAAATGGTATAAAAGGGATTTATATCATTTATAAAAACAGAAAATAAATTTAGGTATGTTTTCTCATGTATTCTATTGGGTAAATACATACTTAAATACAAATGAACAAAACAAAAATGTGCATGATATTTAAATTAAAATTCAAAATACAAATTCAAAATAAAGTTGCCGTGTAAAATGGAACATGTCAATAAAATATGAAGGAATTATTTTTTATAAATAAGAGCACATTTTAAGTCTATAGTCAAAGGAGAGAATCTTACAGCAGATTTGTTTTTATGAGTGGTTCACTTATTCTGTGTTTGCTGTTGTATGCTGTTAATATTTTCAGACAACAGGACCCACAGTAAGCTGAGGGTCCAGACTGAAGGACTAAAGCTACCACAGTACCCGCAAAACCATGCACATGTTGCATTTCACCTTCCCCAACATTAGAATGCATCCTTAGGCACTGTGCGATGAACAGTTTTTTAAAAGACCACATCTTAAGAAAAAATAAAGCTGTCAGATGAGACAAATAAGAAACAAAATTGGTTTGGGTTCAAACAAGAATTTTTTTCTGGGAAGTTCCTTTAAGGGATGCTCACTAATTGTTGAGCTATGCAGTTCAGGATTCCACACCCTGTATTGTGACCTATGGACTAATGTGAGCAGGGAAAGCTTTGTAGATAGGGCTAAGTATAACAGAGGAAGACATGAAATCGTCTTCGTCTAAAATGCTTATGAAGGAAAAGAAGTAATCTGAGGAATTAAAGTGCCTTATCTCTTAATACTCCTGTCTGGCTTATCTAAGAGGTTGAGGGTAGTGATGGAGGTGAGAGATATTGCAGTCAGCAATGCATAAAAATGGAACTCTCCACTTTCTTGGGAGGGTTTAACTAAAGAGCACATGAGGTTCATGATCACAGGATAATAACTTAATTGGACACACACACAATTACATAAAAACTATGGTTAAATGAAAAAAAATCACCACTGCTTCCCCCCACCTCCACCATGAAGTTTCCAATGGCACCAGATAGTGCAAAGTGAGTCATCAGTCATCTCTTCTCTTCTAGGTAGATGTGTTTTAGAAGGGCTTCAATTCAGGAATCATCTTCTCCTGCAAACCCCCACCAGCTACAGTTTTTCTTTCAGCTTCATGTCAACACTTCCAAGATGAGGAGTTAAAAGGGGGGAGAGGGAGAAGAGAGAAAAGCATGAGGTCATTGTTCAGTATTCACTTGTTATATTTTTAAAAATTTCATTCCTTCTACTATTCTCTTAAATAAATCATGCAAGACCTTGATAAGAAAACTAGATGGAATGTAATCCTTCTTCAATTCCTGATCCCCACTCCTTTTACCATATGGGAACAGCTAATATTCTTTCTTATAGCAACTTTCCCTGGAAGCATTTTAGGCCATGTTGAGGCTTAGATTTGTAGTTCATTCTTATTTGTAAGAAAATATGAGTGAAATATGTTCCTTCCTTGGAAGGAAGGCATCCATAAAAATTTTAAATAATCTGTTTCAGATAGACCAAATGAGTAGTTAGCCTGGAAGACGTAACTTCCAATAAAGCATTAATTCATTTTAAGTTAAACACAGCAGCAATATTTTATAGGAGTCAAACGATTTGCCCTAAGGAGTCAGAGTAATTTAAATGGGTGGAAAGATCAAAAATTTTGTGTATCACCATCAACTGTCATCTTCCTTCCCCAGAAAATAAAGGAAAGTCAGTTGATAGCCTTCAAGAGAATATTGGTCAAAAAAGAAAGAGAAATTGTTGGATTAAGTTAGTTATGAAGTTTTTCAATGTCATTTTTCTATGTTGCCATGAGTCTATGTACCTTGGATTACAGTATCATGTTTTCATGATGGAATTTGTTGACACTAGGCAAGGCTGTTTTTTAGACCCTATATGAGTAATGTCCAATTGTATAATACTCCATACTGCTAACATTCCAGTTGGTATAGATCTCTATGGTCAATCTTTCTATTGTGGAAACCACCTTTCTGTTTTAATCTTATTTCATCCAACAGTCAGATTCTGCAAGTTATTTGTTATTTTTTATTTTTCATGATGGCAGAATAATAACTCCAAAATATCCTGGATCTTCCCTGGGGTATTAACATCTTGTGGCACTGTAAGATTTGACTTATGCTCAATATAAGGAGGTGTTTAAAAAAAAAACACCTTTCACTACCCCTATGATTCCCTCAGGCTGGAGTCCTAAATTTCTCCTCTCTTTCTCAGTCAAACTCTGAAAAGAAAATAGCTGAGTCCATTACCTTTCTTCTCTTACTCAGTCCTTTGTTATCTGGATTTTAATATCACTCAACTAAAATTGCTCTTTTCAAAATTAACAATGATCTTTAACTGTTAAATCTGATAGCCTTTTCTCAATTCTCATCCTACTTGACCTCTGCAGCATTTGACACTATTAATCTCCCTCTCCACATGGATATTCTTTCCTGTCTGGGTTTTTGTGACTCTCTCTTGGGTCTCCTGCAATTATCTGACTGCTCCTTCTCAATCTCCATCATCCATATCACACCTCCTGACTGTGCGCATACCCCAAGGCTCTATTGTTAGTCCTTTTCTCTTCATGTGGTCTCTTAGTCACCTCATCAGCTCACACTGATTTATCATCTCTAAACTGATGACTCCTAGATCTACATACCCAGCTTTAGTCTCTTTCCAGAGCACTAGTCTTATATTACCAACTGCCTTTTAGAAATTTTGAATGGCTGTCCCGGAGGCATCATAAACTCAACGTGTCTGAAACAGAAAATATTGATTTCCATCTCCCACTCCCATCCCTAACCCACTCCTCTTTCAAATTTCCCTATGGTGGTCAAGAAGACCACTATCCTTCCAGTCAACCAGGCTTGTAATTCTTCACTGTCACTCACTCTATATATCTAATCAGCTGTAAAATCTTTTCATTTCTACCTCCACCACAACTCTCACTTCTGTTCCCTTGTCTTTATTCATACAAGCTGCCACTGTAGTTCAGGCCTTCATAAGATCTTGCCTTGGCTATTTTAAAAGCCTCCTAATTAGTTGTCATGCCACATCTTTCCCCTCTCCAATTCATCTTCAACAGTTTTCTTAAAGCACAGGTCTGAGTTTTTCACCAGTTCAACAAATTCCAATGGCTTCTTTTTACCTCTAGGATCGAATATAAACTCCTCTGTTTGCCATTTAAAGCCCTTCACAATCTGGTCCTACCTGCCTTGCCATCCTTATCACTATATACATTATTGTCCAGCCAAACTGGACTTCCTATTGTTTCTCATATACAGCATTCCATATCCTTTCTGTATACCTTTGCAATGGCTGTCCCCTGGGGTTGGAATGCATTTTCTCTTCCCTGCATCTCACAGAATCCCTAGTTAATCTCCAGGCTGAGAACAAGTTCTACCTTCTACATGAAGCCTTTCCTGATTCCCTTCACTTACAGTGTCTTCCACCCAACTCCCTCCAAAAAAATCTTGTATTTTTGTATCTATTTTGTATGTACCTATCTACGTGCATGTTGTTTACCCTGACTAGACTATAAACTCCTCAATTACAAAAACTGTTTTCTCTTTGTATCTCTAGTGCATAGTAGGCACTTAATAATTAATGCCTATTTTAAATAAATAAATTTTAGAAATAAAATAAAAAATAATTAATGCCTATTGATTGATCAACTGATTCATTATGATTAACATATTTTATATGTATGTAATAATAATTTATTTAGTTTATCTCAAGAATGGGCTTGCTTTATAATTTATAGTAGAAATACTATGCTGATGCATCCATATTGTAATCTACTATGATCCTTGAATCCTTTTCTGTCAAAGGACAATATTCTTTTTACCTTTTGTTCCTCACGTGCCTTGTTCTAAATGGACTTTATTCAGTTTGACTTTTTGTATTGAATTTTATTTTGAATTATTTGTATTGAACTGTATTTGAAATTTTTTTATTCTCACCTAACTTCTTGTTCGTTTGTCTCTTTATCTGAAGACTTTAAGAGTATGCTCTCTATTCTACCATTCAAATCACTCATGGAGATCTGAACCAATATTGGGCTCAGAGTTCACCCAGAGAGATACTATTTTAAAATTATTCTTCAGGATGACAATTACCCATCTATAATCATTCCTTCAATAGCCTTGGGTTTAATGCTTCAATATGTTGTGAATGAATTGCTGTGTGATTAATACCTTACATAACCAGTATACAAGAGCAAGAAAGTCTGGATTTTACATTTACAAGTAAGTAAATATAACCTTGTTCTAACAAGCTGAATAGTTAAATCTTAGGCATACAGCTGATGGTGAAGTTAGTAATGAAGAATGCTGACCACACATATGTTTAAATTATGCTAATGTTTCTTTCAAACAGAAACATATTCACTGAGGTATGTATTTTTCAGTTTCAGGAAATGAATAAGTGAGTGTTATTTATGCATGAAAATGAGAAAATGAAGTTCTGGGATTAGTTTTTGAAAACATGGCACAGTATATTTATGGAAAATTAGATTTTGTTCAGAACGGAGGGGAACAGTTTTCTATAATTAAGTTGAATAGTGAGGCATTGGGATAATTCTATAATTTTTTTAATGATTCTGGTGCTATTTAAAAATGAAGGTTTGTGTACAGACTTTGTGTATGAACCCTTTTGAACAGACCCACATGTCTTTTTTGGACCTTGAGCTGTACATAAAAATGGCTGGACTCCTTCCGTTAAGCTTTACTTGTGTCTATACTTCAGAGCTTTTCATTTAATATACATCCAGGACTTTTCCTTTTTTCCCCCTTTTTTTTGTTTGTGTGATTAAAGTTGCATATGGCAAAAAAAATTGAGGGTTGCAGAATGTCCAATAGGGTAGTTTAGTGATGTATTAAATCAATGTGTCTTTCTTTTCTTTGGAAATAGGAGAAAGCAGTACAATTGTTTTCAGTTATACCTATTAATTCAGTGTCACCAAAAAGTTCTTTAAATCTTAAATCAAGCCTGTGACATTTACAAAAGGCATAAATTGCTTCCACAGAAAATAAACTTCTCCCACTTTTGATACATCCACTTCCTTCCCCAAAGCATGGAATAGTAATATTCAAAAACCAGAGAAAATAATTTGGAGCTTGCAAGAAGGAAGAAGGGAGAGGACAGGAGATAGAAGAGAAAGATTTCTCTCCAGTCCCCAAACCTAATCACATTCCTGACATTGGTATTGGGGAGGTAGAGAAAGAAAAGAAAAGGATTCAAGAAATAAAGGGGAGAAAGGGTGGGTAAGGCGGGAGAAGTAGAAAGAGGGAAGTGGAAGGACAAGATGGGCTCTCCTAACTGGTTTACATCCCTCAGAAGAGGGGAAGTGGAGTCAGACACGAAAAGAAAAATAGTTCTCCTTCCATGCCCCACCCCAAGCACCAGAATGAACTCAGACTAAAATGAAAAGAAGTTTCCCTTGCCCTCATCCCAAATCAAAACACCAATACACGAAAAGTATAGAACAAAACAGATCAGACAGAGGTCTGGGTGAACTCCAAAGCAGTTGCAGCAGGGAGGGTTCATTGAGATTCTAGAATTCAATATCCATGCCATTTCTGGCAACTGGGGAGCATGGAGCTCGGTTAGGGAGAAATTATATATTTGTGCAGAAAGGGTGATATTTTTTTCCAAATCTTTCACAACAAAATTCCCTCAGGTTAGGTTTTCCCTTCACATCAAAGGTTTGAGACAAGTGTGGTTCACAGTAAATAGCTGCTCAGTTTCAAAGGTTTCAATTAAAGTATTTTAGACTTTATTTTCTAGCCATATAACTTACTTCTGCCCCCTCTGTGATGTATTTTTGAGATTTGCTCCATACTTCTAATGTGTCTGACCAGATAGATACAGTTTTTATTCCATGTTCACTGTGTCCAGAATTGATAGGATCATAGGTTTTGAGCTGGAAGGGACCTTAGAAGTCATTAAATCTAACCCCCTCATTGTACCGATGAGGAAACTGAAGCCCAGAGACTTGCTCAGGGTCACACAACCAGTAAGTGTCTGAAGTGGAATTCAACTCCCCATCTTCCTGCCTCCAGGTCCAGCAGTCTACCATGACACCATGCTCCTGCTCTCCCAGATAGTGGCCATTAGAAATCTAAAGGAATAGGAATGGTTCCTAGGTGTTTCATGAAGCAAAGTAAACAGTACAGCCACATTTGAATTGTGACTCTTCCATTCTTTCCAGGGTTCCAAGGATTAATAAATGATACAGAAAGCTCTACAACCATAGCTCCTCTGAAGGCCACTCACGGAAAGGAAAAGCTTTTTGGTTTTTTTTTTTTCTAAGAGACCATGTTGGTAAAACAACAGATTTCATGAAGCACCCCGTGCTACTAGCAGGCTGTTTGACCTTGAGCAAATCACATCATCTCTGAGCCATAGCTTTCTCATATTCGCAAAGGGGAATAGACTAGATGACCTCTAAGGTACTTTTCTACTCTCAAATTCTATGATTCTTTATTAGGATACTAGGGTATAAAGGCTGCCCTAATTAGTTGTGTATACAAAGCAAATACTTCTCCCCACCCCCCCACCAAAAAAAAGCAAAAAAGTCCCATCTTCTTCTGGAAAGTCCTGCATGTATGCTTTCTTATGATATGATGGTCACCTTGAGTTCTTGAAGTCTATGCCAGCGGCACACACTGATCCTCTGGCATCAGACAATGCATGCTTTGGGAGGACCACTCTCACTAACCACAGAGAGAGTCAGCACCAATAGGCTAGGCGATAGATTCTTTGGCCATGGCAATCATGAAGCAAAGGAAAACACTGAAGGGTCCCTCAATCTTATGTGGCTTCCTTTTGCTTTTACAGGGACAGTGGAAAGTGCAGTATCAGACACCAAATATTAGACCTCACTTTTGTGGTGGATATATAGGAGGAAATAATAATAATAATATCATCATCACCAATAATAGTTATCATTTGCATAGTACATTACAGTTTATTAAGCACTTTATTTTTGAAAGTTAAATTAAAAAATGTTTAATGAACAAAAACCTAATTTTTCTTCTACCCATCCCTCTTCCTATTTGAGAGAAGAAAAAAAAATGCTTGCAACAATTAGCCATAGTCAAGCAAATCAAATTCTCACTTTGGCCATGTCCAACAAAAACAATCCATATCTATATCTGTGTCTGTCTGTCTGTCTATCTATCTATCTATCTACCTATCTATCTATCTATCTGCCTGTCTTTACCTTGATTCAATCACCTCTCTTTAAAGATATGAGTAGCATGCTTAATTGCTCTGTGGCAAAACACCTCACATATATTGTCTCATTTGACCCTTATAATGACTCCCTAAAGTAGGTGCTATTATTATCTCCATTTTAGAGATAAAGAAACTAAGACTGAGAGTAATTAAATAACATGCCCAGGGTAAAACAGCTAGTAAGTGCTGGAGGTGGGTTTTGAACTGAGTTCTCCCTGACTCAAAGTTCAACATTCCATCCAACGGACAACCTGGTTGCCTCAAGAGCCACAAAGGATGGGCAGGCAAGGATGGGCTGCAATCTGTATTGCCAGAGGTCATACTCCCTTAAATGAGATTAAAGGGGGACTTCAGAAGTCATCTAAGAGAATGGCTTGATTTTACAGATGAGGATAATGAGGTTCAGGTAAGTTCAGTGACTTACATGAGGTTACACATGTCGCAAGCATCAGAGACAGGATATAAAATCAGGTCTTCAAACTTATTGGAATAAACTAAAAAGAAGATGGAATTTTCACCACAGCATCTTGTTCAGCTCTGGCATTACTACTTATTACCTGTGTGACATTGGACAAGTTAACCAGTTCCCGCATCTCTCTGGGCCAAAGCTTCTCCATCTTTTAAACAGAAAAGTTTGGGTGAAATGACTTCTAATATTCCTTCCAACTATAATTTCTATGATCCTATATTGTTGCTTTGTATACTCAGCCTCCATCCCCCAAGCTGTTCTTGAATCTGGTTCTGTTATATAATTCAAAAGAAATGTTGATAGGAATCATTTCTTCTGTCAGAGACATAATTAGATTGACTCTTGGGACAAGCAGCCTGAAATGTGCCCTTAAACAAACTTCGTAATTGATGACATAAATTAATTCAAGAAGTGATTGATAAATTAGGGAGACAGTATGGTATAGTGGTTCCAGAGTACAGGTTGGAAGATCTGGGTTCAAATCTTGCCTCCATCACTTACTACCTTTGTGATCTTGGGCAAATCCTGGACCTATTTCATCTCCTACAAAATGAGAAGGTTGGATTAGAAGGCTTCCAAGGTCCCTTCCAGCTCTACTGTAGACCTATGAACTCAGATTTAGTTGAATAAAACATTCCATTGAAGAAGAACACGTTAAATTTTGTTTCCTTGAAGTTTCAATGCTCTGAGGGCCACTTCAAGAGGTTGTAAGTTTAGGATGCAGATAAGTAAAACTCAGACTGCAGAGGTGGTGCTCTTAAGTGTCAGTGAGCCAACCCAACTTTATGAAAGACTGACTCCCTTCTAGCTCCTGATGAAGGTATAAACATTAGGGCTAACTGGACAACTGAGATGAGTTTACCCATTCCTCAAAGCCTTCTGCCCCTGTGCAGCCACAATTTATTACAAACAAAAACAGAGCTGCCATGAATGGTGGGTTTCTTACTCCTGCTCCATAGAAGACATTTCTGGATCATTTGAAAGGCAGCTAGCTCTGGGTACAAGGGAAAAGAGGCAGCAATAAACATTATTTTTCCCCACAATGACCCCTTGACAGGCACAGCATATTTCAGGAGTTCGTCAAGTATTTAAATACTAAACTATCATTTACACAGTACTAATTGGTACACAGCCTAGAATGGTTCTCTGAACATCCATTTTGTTTTTGAACAATAATTAACCTTGATTTGGGAAGTACAAAAAGACAAATGGAATGTGAATACTTTAAGGACTCTGCAGCTGCAATGTTATGGGAAAAGCCTCAGAAGACCTGGTTTGGAGTCATGACACCATTTGTGTGAGATATTGGTTGGGCTATTTTCCCTCTCTGGGCTTCAGGTTTCTTATTTATAAAATGAGGAGGAAAGACTAGACAATTGCTAAGGTTGTTTCCCTCTTAACATTCTATGATTCCTTGACCCAGAAAGAGTTTCTACCTTTCTCTATTCTGATTACAATTCTACAGCTGATTGAATAAAAATAAACATGACTGGAAAATTTTATTCTCATCCTCAAATGAGGAAATTTTTTTTCCTTCCAGTAGGGTTTCACTAAGGTGGCCTTATTATATTTAGCAAGAATGTTTACAATCAACCCTCAAGTATGTGGAAATGAACTATTGACATGGTCGATTCCCTAAGCCAAAAATTATGCTATGTCATCTCTCACTGAATACCAAACATAGTTTATGGTAACCTGCCCCCAGTGAGCCAAGTGAAGTGGGTTCGATAAGTTAATTCTCTTTGCCGTAAACAAAATACTATTCAGGAAGGTTAATCTGGGGAGGAGGTCAAGCATTGTGATAAAACAATACAAATAAAATACTTTTTAAAAAGTGGTTTCTCCTCTAATATCTGTTTTTTTTTTTGCTAACAGAGTACAGATCACAAGAAGAAAGACCATGCACTTAGCACAGTGCCTAGCACATAGTAGGTGCTTAATAGATGCTTGTTGATTGATTGAATTCAACCTGTGACAAAATTTAGCTTCACCTGTCAAGCTATGGTCTATTCTGGCACTTGTGCATCCTTTCAAAGAAAATAATAATTACCCATACTTATAAAGTAATTATTCAGTGCTCTACTTATATGTCAATATGTCATGGGCTTGTCACTCATACAGTGACATAAACCACTTAGAGTCCGTCACAAAGCATTCAGAATAGTCTCTACAGAAGGCAGATCATCTTTTTTTTAAGTTTTATTTTCTAAGTTTTCTTTTACATGAAACTAATATTGTAGAACTTACTTTTTTTGGTCTCCAAAGATTTTTCCCCTCCTTACATGTTTTTTGTCACTTTATTGTCACAGATTAATCAATTAATTCAGAATGTATTTCAATGTGTACAGTGGCTGGGCTTCTCAATTAAATTTATAATGTAAGCAAAAGACAAAGTGAGGTTAGTTATGGATAGCCAGTCAGGTGGTTACTGTCTGTGAAGTCAACCATGGCGATTCAGTGAAGGCCAAGGAGGGGTGTTTGACCTAGAAAAACTTCTCCAAATCTTCTGGAACAAATGTGGGAATGAAAGAGGAAGGAGTGGTACAGTTTTCACATTGCCACCCACAACTTTGTGGTGGGGTTAGGTTTCTGATAAAAATATGTGCTTACCATGAGGTAGACAAAACTTAAGACAAGGAGGAACTAAGTACCAGAATCAGAATTAGAATTCTCAGCATCTGGCCACATAACTCATAGGACCTGTTCCTCTAACCTGTGTGTCTCCTCTTTGCATGTCTGAAATTGGGCAAGTGTATTTCTAATGCTTTAGAGACACTACTTCAATATTAATAGAAGCAAGGATGAAACTGAGCAGATGCTTCAGGCTTAAAGGCCTAAATCACCCATGATGTCACAGAGGAAGTATGAAAACATGGTGCTTGTAAGGTAGGTCTGTAGTCAGAACAATTCCCCTCTCTACCTTACCTAGAGAAGAGAGGTCAAGCCAATGTCATATGACCTTTCAGTGCAGGGTGGAATGGGGACTGGAGAGATTTGAGAAAAAACAAAAGCTTAAAAAAAAATCCCCAAACATACCCTACATAAAAACAGAGCACAATGAATAGCAATTGAGGAAGGTATTCTGCTAGGAGAGAATAGATTAATTTAATACTCTAACATTACTCAGTAAATAGTATTTTAAATAGCCCTTTTAACCCACAAAATAGGCTATTGCACAGACACTGTGAATCTGAACAAGAAACACAAGGGCATATCTCTTTAACGGGTTGCCTCCAATACCTAAAGCTAAATTTAGGTGCAAATAAATCTCAGGGAGGAAGAAACGTTTTCAATTGTTTTTGTATGGGAACGATGGGCCAAGATGAAGCTTTTTGGTTACTTGATGGTTTCCTTCCATAGTGCTGCAGAATTACTGTACCTTTCAGCTAAAAGCTTCAGTAGAAGGTAAACGAACTCTACCTGAGGTATAATGTATATCATTTAAAGTCACATCAGCCCATCTGATTGACAGGGGGAAGGAAAGATCTCACAGAAAACTATGAGGTGAGTTTTTCACAGTGAAAAAAAAATATTCCTTCTGTTTCAAGCCACAGTGAAGATACTAGCAATGCCACAAATTAGCGTAGGGCCTGAGTGCTGTACATAAAGAAAGTGTGTGTGTGTGTGTGTGTGTGTGAGAGCACATATATAAATGTAGTCATAAGAAAGTAGTGGTAACCGATTGTGCAGTATTTGTGTATAAAAACACCATGAATTTTACGAATTTGCCTCTTACTAATTAATAACAAAGCACATTCTACACATTAACACCTTCACTCCTCACGACAACCCGAGAGGCTAGTGCTATCACCATCCTCATTTTACAGACAAGGAAACTGAAGCAAACAGAGGTTAAATAACTTGCCTAGGCTAGAGTCACACTGCTAGTAAGTATCTGAGGCAGGATTCGAACTCAGGTCTTCCTGACTTAAGCCAAACACTTTATCCTCTGTGCCATGTGGCTTGAGAATTTATTCAGATTAATCAGCTAATGAATTGAGAACATACTGAAATGTGTAGAGCAGCTGGACTTGTTAGTTAAATTCCTAGTGAAAGCAAAAGTTTTGGAGTGGAGTGGATGACTGTTTAAAGAGCAGCAATCTTTATTAACATGATAATTACAAATTGTTCTTATTTGTTCATTGTAGTAGCTTCCAGAGGGTATCTACTTATCAATGATTTACTTAAGGTTATTGCTTATCTTAGAAAAAGAAATTAAATTTATTAAAAAACATGATGGGATAGGTATGATTTCATGGGTACGGGGAATTTTCAGATGAGGAAACTCCCTCTCACCAAGGAAGCCTGACTCCTTCTATGCAACTCAGTCACCGGGAGCCCTGAGAAGTTAATTGATTAGCCCAGGGTTACACAGCCAAGCAGGACTTGAACCTTCGTTTTCCTGGGCTCCAAGATCAATTCTCTATTCACTCCATCACTCTTTCTCTCTCATCAAAAATATTACACATTTAGGTTTTCTATTAATTCATTTTGGCCTTCCAGTTCCTAAGCGTTAGTAAGGTTTTGCTATATTGATGAATCTATCACATGTGGATACTACAGTACCTTAGAGCAGAGGTGTTAAACACGTTGCCGCAGATGGCCCAGCACGCCTGAGTGCAGCCGAACCAGATTAGAATGTAATTGGGAGATATTTAACAAAATAAATAAAAATACAGTAAAGCACAGTAACATTCCATTTTAAAACTAAGTCAGTATTCGGCCAGCAGGGAGTCCTTAGGTAGGGATTAGTGGCCCTCAATTTTTATTTGAGTTTGATACCACTGCCTAAGAGAACACGTTCCAGGAGGCAGGGAACCAAGATGTGTGTGCTTAATCATGTACCTAAATGCTGTGCATGCTCAAGAAACGTTAACCAACCATAATTACATTTGTCAAAATAGTTGAGATCAAGGGCAAACAGAGTTCAATTAGATTAAAGGTTTGCAGGGGAGCAGTGGCAGTTTGTTTTTAAAGGGCAGCACTATTCTCTGGGTGCAGGTATAAGCATCAAACATGCAGTTTCTCCCAATCCATTCCTGAAAAGTAAGCAAAGGCAATGCCAAGCAGCAAACAGAATCTTACTTAGCTCTTTCAGATGCTTCCCTCAGCTCTTCATCCAGTCTGCACGAGCAAAAATGGTAGGTGTTTTCAAAGAAACAAAAGAAGAAGCAAGCACAGCGTGAGAGAAAAACCCAGCAAAGCAAAGCAAAACATTAGTGCGGTCTACATGTATATAAATAGACTTTTCAAACATTCGCCTGAGGGTTTGCCTGGGATAAACTCCTTCAATTAAATATGGTGTCATTGCTGCCCACTCAATTGCTAGGTAATTTTATTTTGCAAATTCCTTCATTTGAAGGCAGATAGAAAAATAGCAGGGGATTTGAGACATGCATGTCATATAAAGCTGAAAAACAGCATTCACTTGCTTTGTCTGGCACTAAGAATGTTAGCTGGCAGCCTGGGACAATTCAAGGATGTGTCTTGTTTGGTAGCTGCAAAGAAGGTGGACCTCAACAGCTTTGAAAGGGAGACAGATGGGTAACACACAACAGGACACAGGGACAGCTTCCTTTCAATGGCAGCTTGTTGAGGTCACCTACAAGTGAAAGACTGGTTTGTTCACACATAGAGAGGGACCAGCATTAACAGCAGAAGAAAGCATTTTACCTCACACTTCTCTTATAAGATTTCTCTTCATCGTACCTTACAAGATAAAAAACGAATGCAATGAAGACAGTGAGTAAACAGATGAAAAAGACGACATGTACAAAAATATCTTAAAAGAATAGGTTCTCTTTTTCAGAATGTGGGCAAATGTTTAAATTTGCATATCAATTTTGGGGGGAACAGGGTTACCCAGATAATTTCATGGTGGGTGTTCCCATCTGAAAACCTGTTGCATTGCCTTTGGACCCTCTACTGATGCCAATAGCGTATTTGTACCTTAGAATCCTAGAGAGATCACTGTGGCATTATGTGACTTGCCCAGGGCCACAAGGCCAGCATGTGTCAGAGGTAGGACTTGAATCCAAGTCTGCCAATCCAATAAACATTTATTAAGTACCTACTCTGTTCTAAGCACTGTGCAAAGATCTGGGAATATCATTAATTTTTTTTTTTAAAGAATCCTTCCCCTACTTACTATACCATGCAGCTTTTTGTCAAATTAATTGTCTTCTAGAAAACTGGAGAGAAATAATAAATTTAGGAACTGTCAAAATGCTCATAGTTTAATTACATACTCTCCTTAAAATTAAACAACTTTCTGCCTCATTCAAGTCTAACTTAGAGTCTCTTTCTAGTTCAATCAGTGCTAGGTAGGAGCTATGCCCCCAAATAATTGGAAAACTGAACAACAGGTAAATGAGGTAAAAGTTCTGTGAAAATGTGAGGGAAAGAGTTACAAGAAGGGGTGAATTGGGTAACAGGAATTGGGTAAACAGAGAGGGAAATTCCCATAAAAAGTCACACATTAAAAGTTCATTTTTTTTTCCTTTTGAAGAAAACTTTCTCAAATGGAATCCTTACTATATCGTACATATCACCTTGGAAATCTGTGGTGATGACCTTAATTCCTTCTCAGTGGTGAAAGCTCATAGATGAACTTAGGACATTACATAAGAGTGGCTTCCCAAAAGTAACAATTGTGAAACTGTTACTAGCATGTTTAAGCGTCAATGTTTAACTAGAAGAAAGAATTATGGACTGTCCCTCAAATATGAAGATGACTTCACTGATTCATCAGCAAGAGGGCACCTTATTCTAGCATTACATTTTTATTCTCTGTATGTTTTTCCTTTTTAGGTATACTTCTTGTAAGCAAGAGATAGTGGGGTTTTCTTATCTAGTTTCTAACTCTCATTTTATTGGATTATTTAATCCATTAACATTGAAACACATATAATCCATAAACATTAAAGCAATTAAAGTTTAAATTGTGCTTTCTATCATTTGTGGCTCTAGTAATATTTTTTAATTAGTATTTTGGGGGGGCTTGTGCTTTGGATGATTTTTCAGGACTGGGTAAAGGTGATTCAGTCACACTTTCTCCTGGTCCTCCTTATAACTAATGGAACAAATTTCCAAGGTAAATGACCAAGTTTAGGGGTCTCAATCTTTGACTACGTGACAAAATGATGAAAATTATGAACTTGTTTCATTAGTACTAAACCAGCTAAGCTAATGGGCCAAAGAGAAATTTGTCAGTACTACCATAAGTCCAATGAGGGTAATAGCATATTGCCTCCATGGCTGAATTTTGTGACAGGAAAGACTAAACATATCTACCTTGTGGCTTGTTGTTCTAGACAGACATTTCCATTTCCTTTCTATGGAAGGAGCTCTTAAGCTGGGGTCCATTAAGTTAAAAAATAATTTAATAATTACACTTCAATATAACTGGTTTCCTTTGAAATCCTATATAGTTTATGAATTTTAAAATATTATTTGAGAAAGAGTCCAAAGGCCTCACCAGAGTGCCCAAGGGGACTATGACACACAAAAAAGGGTGGCTCTAGTCTAAAGAATGTGCCTTTGAGCAGGCTAATTTAGGTTTTTAGATCTGGAGAGGAAAATAATGCATATTTGTTAGTTTTTCTTTTCCACTCCAATCTAATTCACAAACCAAGTAACCAGACACACAGGAAATAAAAAACCAACACCACACACACACAATGATATAGGTTTGCAATGATGACCCAAATACAGGGAGGTCCAGCTCATGGTGTCCATGACTTTAAAGCTCACTTTAAAGTCTCTTGTCCCAAGCACCACAAGCTTAGGCATCTTTCACTTTTTTTTTTCAGTTGTGAATGAGAACATCCTTCACCATGCTTTAGTCTTTGCAGGCTGCTGCTGTTGCACCTTCTGAACTGCCCTGCAGTGGGCACGGGAAAAATTTCACCAATCATCCCACCTGTTAGTTGGCAAATATTACATGATTATTCTTTCATCTGAAGAGGAGCCAGAAAATGAAATGGGGCTTTAGAAAAGAAGAAGAGGAGAGTTCTTCATAATTACTAAGGGATTGAAGGGCAGTGTTTTATCAGTTATATTTTTTCAGACAATAAAGACATGGATGATAAGTTAAGACACTGGTACTATGTCCGTAGGGAAGACAAAGTTTAACTGAAAACATTTAAATTTATGCTTTCTTCAAAGTCACAGTTAAGTTAGCAATGAGTTTCATGGATAGGGTAATAATTTAACATAATATCATATGGAAAGGGATTTTAAAGAAAAAGAATAGTTAACTATAGGCTGTGAAGAAAAGTACAGTGATAGCGGGAGCTTTAATAAATATTTACGTGTCAGAATGATCCTTTCCTCTGTTTTTCCAGAAGATAATATGTTTCGTAATCCTTTTTTATAACACCCATCATTTCTTACCATATTTTTTAAATATTCAGGACTTACTTGATGATACTCTCTGGGATATGGACACATTCCATTGGGATCAGCTCGCTGAGCTCTGATAAAGTGCTGACGTATTGTATTTTGCTGCTGAATTTTGAACTGTGAAGAGAGAGAGAGAGAGAGAGAGAGAGAGAGAGAGAGAGAGAGAGAGAGAGAGAGAGAGAGAGAGAGAGAGAGAGAGAGAGAGAGAGAGAGAGAGAGACACACACACACACACACACACACAAAGGTTATGGGTCACTCACTCTCCATAAGCCATATCTTGAAAATTATGTTGAATTCATTTTGTAATGATCAAATGTCACTTGGGCAACAAAATTGATGTTTAGCATGACTATATTCACTGTCACTCTCTCCACCACCCCATCCAATATGAAAAGGGCACAAGTATTTCCCAAATTTGGGCAGTCAGGTGGCACAGTAGATAGAATGCCAGGCCTGGAGTCAGGAAGACTCATTTTTCTGAATTCAAATCTGGCCGCAGACATTCACTAGCTGTGTAATACTTGGCAAGTCATTTCACCCTGTTTACCTCAGTTTCCTCATCTGTAAAATGAGCTAGAGAAGGAATGGCAAACCACTCCAGTATCTTGGCCAAGAAAACCCAAATGGGGTCACAAAGAGTCCAACATAATTGAAAAATGACTGAACAGCAAATTTTCCAAAACAAATACACTGAAAATTTCTCATTTTACTTCAATCATAAATTCAGAATACTATGAAAACCAAATGAAAATGTAGAAAAGAGAGAAATAAAACTATACCTTTTGTGTCTATGATCTTGGATCACTTGTTAGAATCTGAATGCTAAGAGATAACATTAGATATGGCCTCAAAGTGAGTCTCTTCTGATTGCATTTCTTTCTAATGGTAAATTAATTTTGTAGAAATTAGAAACTGATGTACAGGAAAGGCTACAGTAGACATGCTTTGCTTTAAAATCACTTCTCCACTTCTCCATAAAATAATTATTAGCTAGTCATGCTATATTTAAAATGATGATGCAAGACCTAATGTGCATTTATGTGGGACCTCTGGTAAATCACTTTATCTCTCTGGGTTTCAGTTGCCTCATCTGTTAAATAAGGGGGTTGGACTAGATTATCCCTTCCAACGCTGACATTCTGTCTTTTCTTGATTTTATCCTTAACATAGTGGCATATAAAATTCCCTCTCCAGGTAAAAATGTGCAGACCAGTAGGACCCAGGAATTCTTCCTCGGCAGAGTTATAGACCCTTTGTACTGAAAGTGGTAACCTTCATTTCTTCTTGTTAAAAAAAATCCATTTTCTTTTGTCATTTACTTTACCATGTTAAGCATTCTCTAGACAAGGAGTTTTTAACCTGAGATCCATGAACTTGCTTTAAAAAATATTTTTATAACTGTACTTCAACATAATCGATTTCCTTGTGCTATTTATTTTATTTTATTAATTTAAAAGCATGATTCTGAGTAGTCCATAACACAAAAAGTATTAAGAGCCCATGCTTCTAGACCAGCTTACCAATGGTGGGATAGTACATCCCTTTATTTTATTTTATATTCTGCAAAGGGGGATTGTGGCTACTCTGTTGAGAAACTGCTAAAGTTCATTTTAAAAATAATTACACTAATTTTCTCTTCTTATTTTCTGCCTTCACAGCTTTCAAATAACCATGTTGGATGAACCGAAGTTCAAATGAATAGTGTAACAATTAGAATTAAATTACACATATCCTTCAGTAACTAAAAATGTTTGTTTGATTTTCCTTTCAAGTTGGATAAAGATCCAAAGTAGCTTTTTGGTTTCATATTAAAAGGCAATCTCAGACTGTTGGGGAATCTGGGAACTACTGTATATCATATTGCCTGTTATCATGTCCTGGGCAAGGGCAAACATCTTTTCCTTTTGCTCAACTGCTTTGTACTCTTTTTCCTATGATTTAAAAAGGTGTAGAATTTATAGATTTTTATAGACTTGGCAGCATCCTAGCTGAGGATTCTAACTAAGCCAGAAAGTGGACACTGCATAGAGCAATGTCCAGTAGAGACTGCAGATCCTACTCAGCAGTATCTAGCAGAGTCAGTGGTCCAGTGGAACAGAACCCAAAAGTGACCCCTGGAGATTATGAAACTAACACCAATGAGATTAGTGCAATGACATCATTGGAAGACATTAGTGACCCTGAAATGATAGTGGCATGTCACTGCCTGTTTGGTCCTGGACACACATTGTTCCCTATGTGTTATAACCCTTCTATGTGTTCACATTCATGCGTTGCGTATTTGTGGGAAAGTGTGTCTCAGGCTTATAAGAGAAATATTTTGTTGCTGTTTTCCTCACTAAGCCATTTCATTAAATGCCTCTTTTAAACTGTGTCCTCTAGCTGATTTAAAAATAGATACATCAGATGGGGGCTCATTAGCTATTGTTTTAGGCATGCAAACCCACAAAAAACTTGAACCTGAATTAGCACCACATTATGGGGACCAGCCCTGTGAGTTGGAATGTCCCAGATACTACAGCAAAAACACTTGATAGTTATCAAGGCACTTGGATGTAATAATCTCAGTGATAAATAAAGCATCTAAAATGAAATTTTTATGGAGGTCATAGTCTGTCATTAAACTTTGGGTTTCATTTTCCTGTATATATATCCATGATACATACTGGATTTGACATTGGGTAACTAGCTGGAATGGGATTTGGTTAACAGCCATGATGTTTCATTCACCTTTCAAACATAAATATGATCATAACAATTTCTTAGTGAGTGTAAGGTGTGACTAGAACCACATTGGATTCCATCCTTTCTTCAAATTGGTTTACAACACATTTTCATAAAGTTGAGAATCCGAATCATAGAATTACAGAATTGAGCCTGAAATGGAAGCTCAAAAATAATTTATTTCAACCCTGTTATTCTGTAAATTAAAAAAAAAACAGGCTCAGAAAGATTAAGGAAATTGCTCAAGGTCTCACCACTAATTAGTGACTACCCAGACTCAGCTCCCTGATCTTCTGACAACTGGTCCAAAACAGCCACATCTAGTGTTAAATTTATTAGATTTTCTGGATATTCCTTTGCCTGACAGCTATAACAGATTCTCCTCATACTAAAAAGAAAAGCAAGTTTCGGATAGACTAGTCCTCCTTACCGCCCCTCCCCAACTGCTGCAGTACATTTGGGGCTTAGAGAAGCAGATACGGAATTTAATTTTGAGGGAAAAGGGTGGACGGTTCACTTTCTAAGTTAAGCTTCCCTCTCCATATTAGTATACCAAGTTTTTCTTTGCCTTTGGAAAAGGAATGAAGTCAGGTGTCTTTATCCCCCACTTTTCTGAGGGGAAGAAGTCTCCTATGGGTTGAGTTTGTCCATCCTGTCACTTGGCTTCATTTGTTTGTTTTTAATTTGGAAGGAGTCAAAGTAGAAAGGTCAGCTCTGTCTAGCAATTTTTTTAGGGCTATACACAAGTTCAGTTGGTTCCTACTAGCTAAGTGAAATAATGGATAGAGCTCTGGGTCTGGAATCAGGAAGATTCACCTCCCTGAGTTCAGTCCTGACCTCACGCTTACTAGCTGTGTCACCTTGGGCAAGTCACTTCTTAACTCTGCTTAACTTAACTTCTTAAACTCAGTTTCTTCATCTGTAAAAAAAAAAAAAGCTGGAGAGGGAAATGGCAAACCACTCCAGTATCTCTGCCAAGAAAACCTCAAACAGTCGCAAAGAGTTGGACATAACTGAAAATGACTCAACAACAATAGCAACTCCTTTTTCATTCTCCCTCCCTCTTTTAATTCTCACAAGACTCTGAAATGCGGCTTGTTGAAGCAGAGTGTCCTGAGGGTGAAGAGTAGGATAGCTTATCTGATAGAACTTTACAAAAGGCTCCATGGTGGTATCTCCACAGAGTCAATATCTTTGCTGCTATTTCCAGGATTTGCAGCCACGGATTCTTGGAGAGGTAGGTGGTGGAAAGAATTTAAAGTTTTGAGGGGATTCCCCCTGGGAAATTCTGATAGGTTTGGAGAGCTTTGAACTTTAGGCAAGGATACAAAAGAATCAGGGCTCTGTGGGACCACATATTTAGAACTGGAAAAGACTCCAGAAATCATCTAGTACCACCCACTCATTTTTACAGATTAACAAATAGGCTGAAACAGGTCAGTCACACAACTATTAGAGTGAAAAGTCTAGATTTTAACCCAGATCCTCTTGCCATAAAATCCAATATTCTTTCCATGACACTACATGCATAATCTAGAGGAAACTGAAGCAATCAGATTCCATCCACCAGTTTATTTTCTTTTTTTTTCTTTTTCTTTTGGCAATTGGGGTTAAGTGACTTGCCTAGGGTCACACAGCTAGTACATGTCAAGTGTTTGGTCTGAGGCCGAATTTGAACTCAGGTCCTCCTGACTTCAGGGCCAGTGCTCTATCTACCGTGCCACTTAGCTGCCCCCTCCAGTTTATTTTCAAACATCACTCCTATATGCCTTCTTCTCTCCTCTGACACTGCCACCACCCTGATGGAGGCTCTTATAACCTCATGCCCACACTGTTCCAATAACTTTTTGGCTGGCTGCCCTGCCTCAAGCCTCTCCCTATTGTAATCCATCCTCTACTTAACTATCAAAGTGATCTTCTGAAAGTACAGATCTGACCAGGTCTCCCTCCTCTTCCCTAACTTCAGCGGCTCCATACTGTCTCTAGGATCACATAGAAGATCTTCTGTCTGACTTCTAAAGCCTCTTTTCACTTTTCCATCCTTCTTACGGTTAATTTTCCTTCACACTCTCTACCATCCAGCAAATTGGACCTAGCTGATGTCCCTCAGACAAGACCCTCCACTTCCCAACTCCATGCCTTTTCTCCAGTCATCCCCCGTGCGTGGAATTCTCTCCCTTCCTGTCTCCCTCTTCGCTTTCTTCACGTCTCAGCTTAAATTCTACCTTCTGCAAGAAGCCTTTCCTTATCCCCCTTAGTGCCTGCGCCTTCTCTTTGAGATTATCTTGCATATATCCTGTTTATACATAGCGTTTACATGTGCCTCTTCCACTAAGCTGTGAGCTGTACTTAAACACAGTGACTGCCATGTAGCAGACACTTAAATGCTTCTTGGGCGGACTTCAAAGAAGCTAAGCATTCAGACTTGAGCTGAAAGACTGAGGTGAAGACAACCACACTGATGATCACAGTTTGCATTTGGGAGACATAGTGGGTGATGTTCTTTGGTAGTCAAGAGAATGTGGGAGAAAATGAATTATGTTTTAGAGTCAGGGTTTCTCTATCTACTTGGAGTTAGTTAGATTAACATACTCCACTAATAATTTAAAAACTAGCTGAGCCAAAAGGGAAGTCTTTGGGATGTTCCAGCTATGTATGATTTATCAGCATTTGCCATTTTACTGGTCTACCTGTCATTGCTTTCTTTGTTGAAAGTCTCTAATGCTTTCAATGGGGCAGCTAGGTGGTATGGTGGATACAGTGCTGGGCCTGAAGTCAAGAACACTCATCTTCCTGAGTTCAAATCTGGCCTCAGATACTTACTAGCTGTATGACCCTGGGAAAGTCACTTAACTCTGTTTGCCACAGTTCCTCATCTGTACAAAGACGTAGAGAGAGAAATGGCCAACCACTCCAGTATCTTTGCCAAGAAAACCCCAAATGAGGTTACAAAAAGTTAAACACCCATGAAACAACTGAATCCACAAAAATGCTCTTCAAAAGGACTCGAATTATTATTTGATAAGTAAAAATAGTTTTCAGGAAAGTCATGAATGCTGAGCATTTATTTTTCAAGACACATTTTACTGGTCTCTAATAGTCACGAATGCTGAGTTATTAAACAAACACCAATTAATAAATATCACTACCATTGTTTGTTTTTGTACAGAGTGAACTTTCAATGAGCTCATTAGGGCAGACTGATTGCTTCATTTTAACCATAAAGTTATGGATTTCTTAAAGAACAAATATGTAGAAGAAGGAAGACATGACAAAAATATGTATAGAAGGGCTAACCCTGTAAGGTCTTTTAAAAATTGTTTCTCAGAATATTTCCTGGACATTGGGACATGACATAGAATCATGAAGATGGAGAGGACTTTTAAAAGATTCCCTAGTTTGAGTCATGATTCCAAACAAGGCTATATCCCAGGCATATATTTGTCTAGTCTATTTTTTTAAGAACTCCATAAAATGGGATTTAATGGGCTCTCTTAATCAAATTTTCCTAGTTCTTACTAGCTAACAAGCTTTTCTAAAATACACTTCTCCATTTGTGAGTTGGACTGTTTACCTCTAAAACCAGAGGCTCTATAAACTACTCAATTATTAGAAACTTCATCTTAAATTACTTTCTGTTCATAAATATTACAGTCCTTTTTAATATGTTTCTTTTCTCTAATTCCATATAACTTCAGGAAACCAAGATTTTCTTTGTCTTCAAGTTGTTACTTTTTCTTAATTATCCATCATTCTCTCTCTTTTCTCCAAAATAGCATAGTAATTTTACTTCATTGATTATTTTTAACTTTAAATGTTGTGAATGAAGAAAGGCTTAGTGTCAGGGGTGTGCTGGAATCAGCTCCTTCTGGTTTCAGAGAGCCGATTACTAAATTTTCAGTGTGAACTTTACACTTCCATCAAATCAGGGCTTGCTTTATTGTTCTGTTGATTGTCTTGACTTAAGAAAGTGATAGAGAAAGTGTTAATAATGCAGATTAAACTTAAAACTCTGTTGTATGTACACATTGTTTTTTTCCTGAAGAGCTGGTTGTTAAATATTTACCAGGACACCTCTGATCCACTGTCCACTTCTTGTTTTTATTAGCCTATTTTGTGGCCTGGATCAGGAGCTTATCTGAGTTTATGTGATCTGACAAAGATCAGAAAAATGGAGAAAATAATTATTCTTAAATTATTCTCAGTTCGGTGGGGGGTTCTTTTGAATAGGCCAAAAGATCCTTCCAGAAAAGACTGAAATATATATACACACACACACACACACACACATGTATATGTATATATAAAATACACATATACTTATCTGTATATGTGTACATATATGTATGTACGTGTGTGTATCTATACATATATGTATTTCTAGACTTGCTCTTTAAGATTTTACTATGTAAGCATTCTAGGACTTTGAATAAAGAGGAATAAAAAAACCCCTCTACCTTATAAAAGGTCGTGTCACTGCAAGGATTGTTCTGATGAACCAAGATGGGTGAACAATGATGAATGATTTCAAGTTCTTCCTTAACCTATTTTGAAAGAAGGAAAAAAGTATCATTTCACTACCTTTACCTTTTGTTTTCCCTTTAGAGGAAAAAGTCAATATATCCCATAGAAAATACAATGTAATCTAGGAAAGCTTTTAAGTCAATTAGAATCACAGTGGAAAACATGCAGACGGGAGGGCATTTGATAAATGAGTTAACAGTGGCCATGGGGGGAGAAGGGAGTCAAATAGGAAACAAATATTCTTCCATACCTTCTGTCAATCATCTGATAACATTTTTTCATCCAGCCTAGTCCAGGCATCTTCCTTCTTGGGGTTGCTCCATTCAAGTAGACTATCATATAATCTTCAGCTACCATCAGCTCCAAAGTGCTTATTACATAGCTAATCATTGGAAGAAAGAGTCTTTTAAAATTTTTTTATATAAAATCTTCCATCATATTTAAACCAATTACCATTTTCTTTAAGCATAAATATATGACAGGTTTACAATTAGCCTGATTAGCCAGTATACTATTTAAAGGCCTTTTAACATATGACCTTAACAGCTTCAGAAAAACAAAAACAAAATATGGCTACCTTGCTAATGTCTTCTTGCAGAAGATTAACATTAATTGTAAATCATTATTATCGTACTTTTTAAACATAGTCACACTAATCAGATTTGGGTATAAACCTGACTTTCAAATATATACACAATTAAAATAATGAGGGAAGCTAAGATAGAGTTATTGTGACTAAAGAGAAATGCAGATTTATTATCAGTGACTTAGAAATGGAGAGTCAGGAAGAAAAATTATACTTAAGCCAAAAAAAAAGCCTCAAAACTTTGTGCAGGTCTTTCTTATTATGCCAAAAATGTTCAAAGGTTTAAAATTCATTCTGAACAAAAAGGCTTCCTAAAATGTCCTAGCTCTGTGAGCAGTGTACCTTGACAAATTCCTCCTTTTAAGTATCCCCAAATCATTTCCTCAAATTCAGGGTATCCCATCTGTCATTATATGTTCACAGACATTCATTCAAAGCACTTTGTTACAGTGTTCACAAGCATCACTCACAGGAAAAGATTTTCCATGACATAGTGGTAATCAGCCCGACTGCTGTCTGGCAGAAAACAGGCAGCAAACACAATGATGGCATTTAGACCGTCCCCATAGTATCCTGGGGGACAAACAAAAAGACATTTGTAACTAAGAAAAAAAAACCCTCAACAAGATAATACTTAACAGAAAGGAAGCTGTGGGTAGTCCTAGAATATATGTGTATCCATACATCTCTACTGGGCTTTTTAAAGTTTGCAAACCACTTTACAGATGCCGTTTTATGTGACTCTCTAACAACCTTATCAAGTAGGGACATCCCCATTTTACAGATTAGGAAAACCAGAATTAGTGAGGCTTTGACTTGACTGTGGTCACACGGATTCAACTCTTGCCTTTCATACTGTGTGACCAAGAGCAAGTTACTTAATGTCTCTGAGCCTAAGATGTATCTAAGGTATAGGTATAGGTGTGATGATTCTATGTTGATGGAGGGAATCCACATGTCAATAAAGTACATAGAATATGTACTGACATACGGGAATAGAGACCAGACGTGTGGATTCGTTGGTTTTTGTTTGTTTATTTTTTGTGGGGTTTTTTTGGATGAGTACATTCCTTCTACCAATGCAGGTCAGCACTTTCTCTGCAACTTAAGAGTCTTAGAGAGCTGCCCTGAGCACTAAGAGATTAAGTGAATTGGCCAGGGTCACACAGTCCACATATGTCAGGAGCAGGACTTGAATACAGGTCTTCCTGGGTTGGAGGTTAACTTTCTAACTCGCTACCTATAAACATATATCTGCACAAATAAACATATATAACTAGACAGACATGCTTAAGTGGGACATGGAAACTATAAACTTTTACCAAAGAATGGGAATGAAAAAAAAAAGCTGGATAGAATTGTAGAAAGGAAAGAAAACTGCTAGCAATTTTTCCCCCATAAAGTCAAGGAAAAGACTTTTGTTTCTATCATATTTATATAACACTTTAAGGTTCATGAACATTTTCTCCACAATATATTCTTGTGAGGTATGTAACATAAGCATCATTGTCCATATCTGACCGATGAAGAAATTGAGCTTCCAAGAGGTAACTTACTCATGGTGTTACAGCTAATGTTTAGAACCAGGATTTACACCTGGTTTTATGACTTCTAATCCAGCATTCTTTCCTCTACAGCATGCTGTTTTCCACCCACCATCTTTGCCCTTTTTTAAGGCTACTGCACATGAGCTATGTTGAAGGGGAAACTTGGAAGATGAACTACGAAAGAATTCAATCAATTCCCACTTATTTTGGTTACAGGTCATTTGTGAACTGTGAACAAAAACTACCTTTCTTTTGCCTCCAGCTCCCCTGGGAATCCTCAGAATGAATCCATCAGTCATAGAATATGTGAGATATTCTGACCCATTCATTAATAAACATGGGCTTAAGTGTCTAGCCCATGAAAGAACTAACAGTGGGCTTACTGAGGGACTGAACGTGGCCTGACTTTCTTTTACACCAGGGTTTTATGAGCATTTGTGTTTCTGGGGAAATGAGGATTGGCTAAAGGCAGATGAAACATATGACAAGTAGGTAGAGATGAGTTGAGAGTAATCCTGATAATTAAGGTCAACACACATTTTCTAGACCAGACTAAATTTTGATGAGCTCACAAATATTTTGAAATTTATCTGTAAGAGTTGTTTTCCTTATGGACTTGTGATTGCATTCATGTAGGGAACTCCAAGTGCATAAATTTTCTTTGCCTATACAGATTGTCAACTCCTCTGTGACTTATGGTCCTAAGAAAATTGTCCAGGGGCAATGAGAGACTAGGTGACTTGCCTATGATTACACAAGCTAGTACCTTTTTCAAGGCAGGACCTAAAACTAGCTTTTCCTGACTCCAAGAAGGCCATTTTGTAAGACTTAGAAGAGCAAATTCCAGAGAAGGGCCTAACTTCTGGGCACAAGAAATGCTAAAGTAGGCTAGGTCTGCATTCCTTCTTTCATACTCTTTCTCAGAATCTGGTGCTAAGTCTTGGCCAATGTCTATCAATGCTGAAAGGGAGGAAATTAGGAGTCTCCTATGTAGGTCATATTAATCACGGAGGTGATTCAGACTGCACTTTTCCTTTTAAATGGCTTTTGTTAAAGAATTCTAAGCTTTAGCATCAGCCTAGCTCTGAATTAAAGTTCACTGGTAGGTAAATGACACTTTAATCATTAAATAAAGCTATGATTGTAGTCCTTTGACTGGGCTTTGAGGCCACCCTTTCAAGCCTGATCTTATTGCTCCCTAATGAAACACCCTGCTTCATCTCCTTAAAGCCCACAAATCTCTATGAGGATTTGTGCACATGAAGGTGGGCATGGGATTGGGAGAAAAGGGATGAGGAGAGTGCTTGCTTGAAGGAGATTTGGGCAATTTTGATTCAGAAAATAGATTCTGAGGCTGGTCCCTAAAGAGCACCAGATTATAAAAGGTGGCCGACATGCTACAAAGAGTCCAATCCATGGTCAATATTTAATTGTGTCCCACTTGTTTCCGCACAGCAGAATGAAAGTTTCTTAAGAGCAGGGACTAGTTTTTCTTTGTCTTTGTATGCTCCATGCTCAGTGTATGGTAAGAGCTTCAATATGTTTATTGAATTGGGTTCAAAATATATTGAATAGTGGGTATAACTTCTTTATAAGATTTTGATGCTGCCCACCATCTAGGCAGGAAGGGTCACAGTTACCAAAACTGATATCTCTGACAGAGGATTGTCAAAGCTTCCTTCTCCTGCTGTATTTATTCAGTTTATACTTATGCCATATATACTTGCTGCTTCTGCCTCTTAGAATATAAAGAAGGGTGCAGGCATTGTTTCATAGATTGTACTATATTCCGTGTACCAAGCACAATGCCTAGCAAATAATGGATGTTTAATAACTACTTGTTGATTGATTCTACCAAGGTTACAGATTTTTCTAACCAAAAAAAACACCCCTTCATAATATTTATAGTTAAAATAAAATGAGGAGACTTGTAGAAGATATATTTTTAAACATATGTATACCCTATATGCTAAACCCATTTCTTTAAATTTGTTTTTAGCAAGATTCTTTTCTGAGGCAAATTTTGCCAGCTATGTCCACCTAATACCCTAACTCTAACTTTAAAAACACAAAGGTTATATTACAGAAAGGCTCAATGGAGAAATAGGGAGAAAAAAAACCCTCAAATATTGAGTTACATTATAAGATCTTGTACTGGGCAGTAATATTTCTAACTTTAGAAAACAGTTTTAAAAGTAGCTGGCTGGTTTTGAGGTCTTGGAATATTTACAAATTCAGGAAATTGATCAGTCATTCTTGCCTTTTCTATTAGTGGACAACTTCTGGGGGCATTGACAAAAACTAAGTCTGGGGATTATACATACTGTATCATAAGGGATATTAAAATTCAACTTAGTCATATATTTCAATGTTGTCTTTGTAATAAAGTTGTGTGTGATTTATCCCAAGTTACCTGGCTGACAAAATATTTATGGTTCACCTAAATTACTTCATTGTCCATTCTTGTGTTATGACATTAATATATGTTCTCTTTGTTGTTATTTGGTCATTTCAATCATGTCCAACTCTTCATGACCCGATTTGAGATTTTCTTGGCAAAGATACTGGAGTGGTTTGCCATTTCCTTCTCCAGCTCATTTTACAGATGATGAATTGAGGCAAACAGGGTAAAGTGACTTGCCCAGGATCACACAGCTAGCAAGTGACTGAGGCCAGATTTTAACTCATGAAGATGAGTCTTCTTGACTTCAGGCTCAGCACTCTATATGGTGAACCACCTTGCTCCCCAATATGTTCTCTGGAAAAGGGTTCTTGAAATGTATAAATGAAGGTGAATTCTTTCTTGTATATATGTGCTTGAAGTGAGATAATAAAATGAGAAAGGAAAAGATGAGAGGGGCAGGTAGAGGAGAGATGAGGTGGGAGAGAGATAAGAATATAGAATGGGGTCAGAGGGGAGAGAGACAGCAGAGGGTGGGGAAAAGAGAAAGAGAGGGAGAGAAAGAGGAGAGAGAGAGAAAGGAAGAGAAGAGGGAGAGAACTGAGAGAAAGAAGAGAAAAAGGGGAAGAGAAAGAAAAAGACAGAGAGGGAGAGAGAGGGAGGAAGGGAGAGAGGAGGAGGAGGAGGAGGAGGAGGAGAGGAGAAGAGAGAGAGAGAGAGAGAGAGAGAGAGAGAGAGAGAGAGAGAGAGAGAGAGAGAGAGAGAGAGAGAGAGATTTCCACAAGAAAGATTTTCTCTTATACTAAGTGATGGTAAGGTTGTCTTTAATCATTTGGCAATCTTTCAAGTAGCAATTTCTGGAATAATGGAATAACTAGCTTAAAAATTAGAGCTAAACCTTCAATTCACACTGTAAAGTATACAGTTTTACTTAAATGATGCTAGCAGCTGCTATTACAGTACAGCTAATGTTTGGGGTGGCCTTTTTTAATTTAGAACATCTCTCTGTTCCATTAACAAGAGGAACAGACAAACGTATTTGCTGAGGCCCAGTAACAAGACCCTCCTGAGTCTCCTTTTAGCCTCTGCAGCAGTTACTATGAGCCTTACCTGCAGCAGCAAAGAGAAGCATGAAAGGAATGTAAAACAAGTTTGCTGGCCAACAATGGGAATGGAGAGAGAAGAAGGGATGTCACAGTCTCACACCAAAACATACACACGCACAAACACACCAGCAAGTAAGTTTTCTCCTCAGATCGTGGGGATCATTTTCCAGGACCACTGCACAGATTACCTGAATCTCCTAAAATTAAATGAGAGGTAAAAAAAAAAAAGGAAAACCTGTGTTATAAATCTTGGGATGCTTTTCCCCCTTAGTTCTTTAAATTCACTTTCCCATTCCAAATGTAAAAGAGCTGACCCTCACCTCAACCTGCTCCACCACAGAGTGAATATGACTGACAGAACAAATTACATATAATGCATCATTCTTATTCTGTTCTTTTAAAAGGAGGGCAAGGCTTATCAGTGATGAAGGACATTCAAATAATGTCATTCACCAGTCTTTCCATGGTACCTGGCACATGGTGTGGTCTGGAAGCTTCAGGCAGCTCCGATAACAAATTATATAAATTATACAAAGTGCCCCACTTGGCAATTTGACATAACATATAACTCTTTACAAAGAGCATCTTTATACTACTACTACTACTACTACTACTACTACTACTTTATATAGTATTGTAAGGTTTATTTACATAATGGTTTATTTTATAATTTTTATATAAGGTTTATTTATATAATGTTTTCAGGTTTGCAAACTTTTGCATACCTTATCTCCTTTGTTTCTCATATCGGCCCTTTCTAGTATGTCCTTCAGGTATCACTCCTCTTACTTTTACAGATGAGAGATTAAATGACTTGCCCACAGTCACACAACCAGCAAGTCTGGGTGGTGGCATTTGAGCTTGTCAACCTAACTGGCACTTGGCCCACTATACTAAGCTATCTCTCTATAGAACAAAGAACCATCCAAAAGAAAATTGTTCACAATAAAGAACTGCTTTTCAAACTTTCCTCAGGAATCATCAAGAAACAGAGAAAACAGACAATCCCTCTACCCACTGTAACATGGGTGATTTCATCTTTAAGACTTTATAGTGGCGTCCATTAGCTTTTAGCAAGATTGCCTCACTTTGGTAAGTTTGAAAGTAACTAATGAAATTGTTTTACTCACAGAGCAGTAAGGATGTACCCCTTATTAGAAAAGGACAAAAGGCATAATAACGCAGATCCCCAAATTCAAGGATGTGTGGGGCCAAAAGAGTACATGCAAGTGGCCTGGAGGAAGGTGAGGAGCCGAGGAGAGGATAGGAGGCCTTCTTATAGAAATGAAACAAACAAAAAAAAAAACAGACAAAAGAAACCAAGTAAATAACACAGAAGAAAAGGAATAAATGCAAAAGAAAGTGATAGGGCTCAGCAAACCAGGTTATTCTGAAGTTTTAAGAAAGTGTCAGCCAGAAGCAAAGATCCTTTCTGACTCCAGTAGAGTGACAAGCAAAAACTCATGACTAGGCAGAACACTCCACACTAATTCTGGTACCATTCTAGACTCAGGTTAATGTCACCTGATTTTTACTGGTGAAACTGAGTAAGTATGGAATGTCCATTTTGACTTGTGATCTTGGTTACTGATAAAGACTGCTTTCCTTAGAGCTGGCCTTCTTAATCTGGGGTCTATGGATAGATTTCAGGGAATCTCTGAATTTATATGGGAAAAAAATGTATCTTTATTTTCACCAACTTCTAACTGGAATTGAGCATTTCTTTCCGTTATGAATTTAAAAAAAAACCAAAAACATTATTTTGAGAAGCAGTTTATAGGCTTCACCAGTCTGCCAGAGGGGTTGTGATATACAAAAAGAACCCATGCCTTAGAAAAATGCAGTATCACTGTAAGAAGTGAGGGGGACAGGACAATTTAAGCACAGGTTATCATCCTTGAAGGGTGATAGTCAAATTGTGCCTTCTTCAAAAGTACACAAGGCTTGTTACAGCAGTGGTCCCCTGCTTGAGAACCTAACTTGGTGCATATCTCAATAAGTTGAATTCACTGTCTACTCCACAGAAATCTGGAAGGAGTATCAGAAAACATAAACTTTGTAAAGAAAGGGACTGTGTATTCTCTGTCTCCCTTATGGCAATTGGGTACTATGCATCAAACCATGAGTCACTGGTGGGGATGACAGCTTCCCCAGACATCTGTGCTCAGTTGGCAAAACTACTGTTATTGGCCCCTTTACATGGTATTTATATTAGTCCTGGGATAAAATACTTTTTTGTGTGTTTTTGTTTGTTTGTTTGGTGGCTGAATCTATGATTTGTCCCTCAACCAATGCAAATTGGGCAACTTTACTTGTAATTGGCCTTTCCATCGAGGCAGATCAACAAGTGATCTGTGACTATAGTCTTAGGGTAACCTGAAGCACTGAGACTTTAAGTAGCTTTCCCAGGGCTCACATAGTCAGTATGTTTCAGAGACAAAATTGAATCCGGGTCTTCCCAGCTCCAAGGCTGGCTTTCTACCCTCTTCACTACACTGTCTCTCAAAGCACCCTTAAAAGTAGTAAAAGCTAGGAATGGAACGCCAAAGGCCCACTAGTAGAATGGAATTCTACATTTAAAATTCGTCTTCTTTTTATGCCACTCACCACAGGCCGACAAAAGGACGCAGGAGCTTCTGATGCCATGCCAAGATGCTTAGTGCTCTGTGTTTGTGCAGGATGAGGGAATTTCGGGAACAATGATTACATGGCTAGCTCACAATGAGGTCATTTTTTTTCATGAACAGCCGGGCCAGTTGGAAAACCACTTAAAGGCTGCTGTTGGAGGAAGGCGTGCAGTAGAAAAACAAGGCTGCAAAGGTTTCAGTGTTAAATGCAGACACTTGTGCTCAATTAGCTTCATCTGCATTCCAGATTAACCAAGGGCACACAGGCGATGGCAACCCCAGAGAAACACTACAAAAGCAACATGGAACGCATCTTCTCTTTGGGGCCTCTTCCAAAAAGGTGCATCATTTGGCCAGAGAGCTGCCACTGCCATGCATGGAGAATTAAGGAAGCTTATGGAAAAGCATACTTTGCGTGGAAAAGAACCGTCAGGGTCAAGCCTATAAACAGCTTTCTGAAGCGTGTGAAGGGGATCCAGAAGGCTCTTTTTTTTTTCTTTTTAATAAAAGAGAATTTGGTGTTAAGATCTGAGAAGATTGTACTCAATAGTAGTGCATTCATAAAAGCTCAAAAAGTGTTCTTACATGCTCTTAGACATACAAGACCCTGCTCCCACCCAATCCATATGAATTCTGTTGAGTAGTGATGGCTCAGGATAATTACCTTTTCTGCAACAACTCTTGGGTATTTAGTGTGAAAACAACATTTTCACTTCCCTAGCCTTGGAGGCAAACCTCATCAACCCTTCAGCTCCATTTTAATATGTCACAGACTAGGGGTTTTGAGGTGTCATGATGTCACCAAAGGGAAAGAGAAAATTATCTCCCTTCACGGAAATATGACTGTGACATTTCTCCATTTCCAGACTTCGCTCTGGTGTTCCCTACCTCCATGAGAAATGACTCTTTTGTAAGGCTCTATAACTTTCATGTCAATCCTTTGCTCCTGTTCCCCGATCACGACGGTCCTCCATAATCGATTGTCCTCCCGCTCCTCCTCAGCAGTGTATTCTGGGATGGACTCTGCCTCCTGGCCAGAATCTTGGAGGGCTGCTGGGTCCTCTGGGAGAAAAAAAAAAAAGCACAAGCAGGTATGCCTTCACAACAGAGATTAGGGATTGGTAGCAATATCTCATGAGACAGCTGAAGAACTGATTATAAGCCCATCAATGGCTGGAATTTTATATTTCTTCTATATTTTGTGCATTGGTAGTATGATATAATATAATGGAAAGAATCCTGGCCCTGCAGTCAATGGGGGTGGGTTCAAGTCTTGCGTCTGGTGCTTACTACCACTGTGACCTTGGACAAGTCACAACCTGCGTGGGACTCAGTTTCTCCATCTATAAAACGTAGGTGTGGAACTAATTAACCTCTGTAGTCCCTTTCAACTTGATATCTTGTGATCCTATGAGCTGAACCACCAACCCTACCACCATTTTGAGTAAACAGAAGTTGTTTCATAATAATTGACTGAGTCATTGAGCAGCCAAATCCATTACCCATATCCTAAGATAGGCCTAGTAGAGGGGCTTTATCTTAGCAGTGACCCATCAAGGTCCAGGATCATACCAAGTCAATCATGGTCATGAAAGAAAAAGATAATATTTGCTCCATGTCTCTGCAGGGAGTAAGGATACTACAGGACAGTAGAGCTAGATTCAAGTCCAGCATGACCTTGGGATCTCTAGAGAGAGCCCAAATGGTAGGCCTACTCTTAACTAACCCAAATTAATTTTCAGGCCTTGGAATCAGCTCATTTTAAAGGGGTATTTAAAAAAGAGAAGGACATGAGACAAGGACCAGCCTGAACACTGTCCCCAGAGTTGTTGCCAACAGGTATGAATGCCTGGGGTGGGAGAGGGAGGAAGTGGGGTGCAGGTCTGAGCCAACAACGCAGAGAACAAAGATCTAAGAGTCTCTTTGATCTTCATGTTTGAGTTTTGTTGAATTGGTAATACCCTCTACTCCTCAATTCATTCCTTTCTACCAGTATGGCCCTTCCTTCCTCATGTACACAAAGTGTCCATTGAATTTTTAAATTCTTCATTTAACCATTTTACTTCCCCCTGCTCAATCTAATTTCCTCTGTCATTTCATTCTTTTTCATACTTTCAACCAACAAGCTTTATTAACCACCACCCATGTGCCAGGCAACGTGCTAGGCCCTAGGCACACAAAGACAGCAAAAGAAGTTTCTGCCTTCAAGGAGCTTATTATATTCTGTCAGAGGGAAATAACACACACACACATGTAACGAAATACAAGGTAAATACGAAGTAATTTTAGGAGGCACTAATAGCCAGGAGGTTGGGGGATCAAGAAGGACTCGTGGTGGGGGTTACTTGAGTTGCATTTTGAGAGGACCTAGAGATTCTAAGAAGTGGAAATAAGGAGGGGGCTCAGCACACTAGGACAGCCAGTGAAGAGGCACAGACACAGGATATGGAATAAGGAAATAGCTTACTTTGCTGGACCAAACAGTGTATAAAGAGGCATAATATATAACAAGACCAGAAAGGTAGATTGGAACCATATTGTGAAGTGTTTTAAATGCCAAAGAGAGAACCTTGCATTTTAATCTAGAAGCAAGAGGGAGCCATTGGAGTTTTTTCATCAAGGGAATGGCATGGTCTGACGTGTACTTTGGAAATATCAATTTGACAGGATTTGAAATGGGAAAGGGAAAGACATGAGGCTATTGCAATATTCCAAGCAAATGATGATGAGAGCCTACCAAGGATGGTTGTGGTCTAAGAGGAAAGAAGGGAGGAACATGTTGAGATAAGATTTGGCAACTGCTTATATATGGGAGTGATGTATACGAAGACTGGAAAGATAAGAGAGAGTGAGGTTATGAGGGACTTTGAACACCAAACAGAGCATTTTGTATTTGCTCCTAGAGGGAACAGGTAGCCATTACAGTGTATTAAGTAGAGGGAGTGATATGATTGGACCAACATTTTAGGAAAATCACTTTAGTGGCGTCCTTCTTAACCTCTCTGCTGCATGTGACAATTTGCTTTGGTATTTTAGAAACTGTTCTGGTTCTTCTCATTTTTTCTCTTTTTTCTGGATTTTTCTCCTCCTATCTTTTAGCTATATGGTTGTGCCCAAAGTGTTGTCCTTATTTCTCTTAATACCTTCTCCCTTAATCATCTCACCTACTGCCTGGATTTAATTATCACTTTTGTAAACAATTTCCAAATCTGTAAGTGACTCCACTGATGAGTCATCAAATGGTGGATACAGGGCTGGCTTTGCAATCTGAAGACCTGGATTTGAGTTTTGCCACTGACACATAGGAGGTCTGTGTCTATGACCCAGTCACTTAAATGCTCAGTGCCCTGGGCAAACTGTCTAAGATTATAAATTATAAATGACAGCTGGATTGCTAATCTGCGTGGGTGGATAGAATTTCCACATGAAATCACAAATCTGTACATGCATTTAGATACACACACACACACACACACACACACACACACACACACACTCCTAATCCTATTCTTTTCCAGGAGCTCCAGTCCTGTATTTCCAACTGTACGCCAGAGATGATCACTGCCTTAGTGACCCTGACATTACAGGAAAGCAACAGTACACTTGAGGAGGAAGTTTTGCAGAAGCAGATTCCCAAGCACCAATGTTCCAAATTTTGTTTTGAGTTGTACAGGCAGCTGAGTAGTGCAGCAGACAGAATCCTGGACCCAAAGTAAAGAAGATTTGCGTTCAAATCCAGCCTCAGACATTTACTAGCTGAGTGATTCAGGAGAATTCTCTGAACGCTACCTGCCTCAGTTTCTTCATCTGTAAAATGGGCTAATAATAATAGCAACTTATCTCCCAGGATTGTCATGAGGATCAAATGCAATGATATTTGAATAGCATTTTGAAAAACTTCAAAAGTACCATATAAATGTTAACTTATTATTAACTTGCAAGTATTGAATTGGTTAAGTTCTACCTACAGAGAATGTCACAACAATCCACCTCTGACTGTAGTAATGGTGTTTAAATTTATTTAGAGTTTTAAGATTTGCAAAGCAACTTGTACACACTCTTTTTTAAATTTAATTCAGTAATCTTGTGAGTAGGTCCCATTATTTTCTCCATTTTATAAAGGGGGAAACGGAGGCTCAGGGAGACTAAATAATTTGTCCAAGGATCTACAGCTAGTAAGAATCTGAGGATTTGAACACATGTCTTCCTGAGTCTGAGTCTGGCACTCTAACTACTCTGCTCCACTGCTTCTGGGGTCTCCAGCAAAGGTTCTACAGTTCCTTCACATTAGGTGCAAACCACATACCCAGCTTTCTACTTCCCAAATTTTTATCACTGCTCTTCTATTCATTCCTGCTCTTCCAGAAGAAACTCTATTCATTCAAATCCTAGCACATTTCACCATGTCTCTGGAACCCCCAAACTATTCTCAGATCATTCCTCTATTATTCTGAAACTTTCCAATGAACACTCAAGTCCACCTTCTTACTCTACGCAAACCCTAGCTCTCCCCTGAGGAAACCACATCCTTAGTAGTCCTTCCTCCCACCACACATGGAAGTTATCCTTCTTGCCCTTTCCAGCTCACAGGATCAAGAGGCGGAGAGGACCTGGTGTCCTCTTTTATCTTTCACTGTTTCCAACCTTTAAATCCTCATCTCTGGAAAAACTTAATTCCCCAATTTCTCTGCTCCTACTCTCAATGGTAGAACCTTGAGATGGAGGTCTTGAAACTGAACTGTCTTTCCCCAGGATAAATTTTTGTTATATGATCCCAACTGGGCCTTCATTACTCTTTGACGATCTTCCCATTTGACCTATGTCAATTTTTTATTTATCTTCCCATAACCTCTATATTAAATCCCTAATTCTTTCTTCTCGTTGTTGTAAAGGTAACATGAGATAATATTTGGAAAGCATTTCATGAAATTTAAAGTGCTACATAAAAGTTAGCTATTGTTATTGTTATTAATCCCAACTATTTCCCCCTACATTGTTTGTGCTTAACTTAGCCTCCTACTTGCCAAAAAGACTGTGGCTATCTGACATGCATTTCTGGAACTCTGTCCTTCTATTCCTCAAAATTCTTCATCATCAAGACTCACTCTCTCCATCCCTCTGATCATAGCAGACAAGATATCTCTATTGCTCCCTAGCGCTAATGCCTCAACCTGTGGCCTTGTTCTCATTCTTTCCTACCAGTATAGTCCACTGTCCTAAAGTTAGTTTTGTTTTGTTTTGTTTTTTTGGTTCAGTCATTTCAGTCATGTCTGACTCTTTGTGACGCCATTCAAGGTTTTCTTGGCAAAGATCCTAGAGTGGTTTGCCATTTCCTTCTTCAGCTCATTTACAGATAAGGAAACTAAGGCAACAGGGTTAACTGACTTGCCCAGGGTCACAAAGGTACTAAGTGTTTGAGGCCAGATTTGGACTCAGATTTTCCTGACTTCAAGTCTGGTGCTCTATCCACTATGCTATCTAACTGGACACAAAACTCAGCTCTGCTGCCTACCTTTTGTATGACATATAAGACATCATCTACTCTGCCCCTCAGTTTCCTCACAAGGAAAATGAAGAGGTTGGTTAAATGACTTTAAAGGTTGTGTCAGGCCTTAAATCTTTTTATCCTATGACTTTGTTCCCTCATTTATTCCTTCTCTCTCATGAATGAATATTCAATCTCTCTTCCTCCACTGCCCCTTTCTCATTTGCCTACAAATTCTCTCAGTACTACCTAATCTTTAAAAAAATTTCCCCCTAATTCTTTTATCTCAACCAGCAACTACCCCATCTCTCTCTTTCTTACTAAACTTCTTGCAAAAGTTAGCTACATACGAATTTCAACTTTCTTACCTCCCACATTCTTCCCAGACTCTTGCCATTTGGTTTTCTAACCACTCTACTGAAAAGTTCACCTGGGACTAAATCCAAAAGCATTTTTTTTTTCAGTTTTTACTCCTTTAGACCTGTTTTGTAGTTTCTGATACTGTTGACCATCCCCTCTGCCTATAGGGTACTCTGGTTCTAGCCCATCTTTCCTGGCTGGTTACACATAATTCATC